GGTCTTTTCTATTTTGCAGTCGGTAACCACGTCAAGAAATTTGGTTCAAATTTTTAATCAAGGATTTAGCTTTCTGTCTGAATCAAAGTTAAAATGTTTATTTGTGTCCGACACAATGTATTGACTGTAGTTTAATGCGTGTTGTTATGAGTCTGGGCTCACAAAGATTTTACAATTGCTGGGAATGCGTTTTTATGATAAGCATTAAATAATGCCAAAATGGGGCATTTTCAATGCCTCACTGCTCCTTAATGAGCATGGGCACCCCCCTTTTTTATTTCAAAATTGAAGTCATCATATGACAAATATTCAGTGGACAAAGTTTGAACAAAAATCTATTGTCACTTTTATTTCAGAGGAATTACCTTAACAATTTTGCATGCAAGATGCTTAACAAAATTATAAATTACTCGGCTGTAAATGAACCGATCGAAAAACAAAATTTTCATGCTAAGGTTAATCTTACAAAGATGCTGATTGCCAAATCTCAGATCCATAGATACAATATTCAAGCTTCATGAATGATACATTTATTATATTGCAGAGCAAGTATGGACACGATTTAGAGAGAATATAAAGGAACAGTACACATAATTGCATATATTATCGGCTAATTCTCATTCAAATCAAACCAGAGTTTTTTCAACAGGAATACTTTCCACTAAATATCAGATCAAAGATCTAATAGTCAAGCTGTGTTATTATTTGATTAATTATTTGATTTTCTTTAAGATATATCTTTTCAGTGTAATTATGAAGCACGTTCACCTTTTGTTATTCGAATGCGAAATTTCGCCAGCGGAAATTGGAAGATGTTTTGACAACTTACAATCTTGTACCCAAAGCCCGAATTTATTTAAAATATCAACCTGTTAATTCGTATTTTATCTTTATGTTTCTGCGTAGATTCAGTTATGTAAAGGATATATACGAAATGCTTTCAGAAAAAAAAAAATGAAATATCAAACGGTAAGAATAGACAAAATATGTACCTCTTTTAAGAAATAAGACTATTGAGTTCTTAAGCGTTCGGTTGTATACTTTACTTCATGTGTTTCCTATTTCTTTTATCGCGCCCGAATCTATAGGCCATTTTAGGTCGCCGTTTGCCTCTGTGTCACAGCAAGTTTTTTTTAATTTTTTTGCGAAAACAAATGAAAACGTGTTTCGCCTATAGGTTAATATTCGTGCAAATCAAACTAGCTTTCATTTGAAAAGTTTTACACGTGAACTTGTTTTGAATCAGAAACCTAGAACAGGTGACGACTAGAGGTAAGAGAGATACTTCCCAACAAAAGCCTCTTTCCTTAGATTATACATCTCAATTTACTTCTAGATCGTTCTCGGTTTCAAATAATGATGCTTTTCAAATCTCTGTTGTGTATGTTTTCCTCGTCTTAACCCTCCGATGTACAAGCAATCCCATACCCCCACCGTAGTACAACTGACGGGGTAGGCCCCTTGGCTTTCGTTCTGTTATGGTACAGCGAAATAATCAGATTTTCAGATTTCAGATTCAGATTTTATTAATTGACACTATTTACAGACATATTTCACTATCGCACACTATTACAAACACGCTATCACCTTGTGGGCCCACAGATTACTTTGATTTTGTTATGACGAAATTCATGATCAATAAGAGGACAGACGCATGAAAGATGGACGTCAATTTGTTAAATATTGAGTAGATAGCCCTGAGCTTGCTCTTTTTGTAGGTCGACTTCATACGACGTCATTTGACCCGCCATCTTGGATCTAAGATTTCACTATTTTCTCAAAAAGTCAAGAAATAACGGAAATTGATAGATAAACAAGCCAGAATGCTTATGGAATGTAAACATTTTTGCATTTCTGGACTTTGATGAGGAAAACTGAAATAAATAAATAAACAAATAAATAAATAAATAAAATAAAGAATTATATCAAAAAAGTTGATTTATGACCAGACTGACTTAAGATTTGTGGTTACCATGGCAACGTCTACAAAGCATTAACAAACAATTTACATCTCAAAATTCCCACAGAGGATAAATGAATTGAGCTATGAATGGTTCAGTCTCTTAGAGTAAATCTTCTTTGCGAAACCTGGCACGTCCCCCTCGTACGTAAGAGGGGGTTGGCAGTGATGAAAAGCTAAAGGTGGGAAAGTAAAATGTACTGTGGGACAGCTTATACAGGTTATTATAAAATAACTAAGCTACTACACGCGCTCTCATTGGTCAATAGGTGTGCTTAGAGGGGAGTATAAAAACACGGTTGTGACGTTTTAGATTGGCGCGTATTTTTGAGAATTATTTTACAAAAACAATAGAGCACTTTTTCCGTGTTTACATAGCCTCATCTAAACACTCGGAGGGTTGGGAGAATATTCGAAAGTTATGCAAACTCTTGACTCGGGTTTGCATAACTGTCTCGAATTTCCCAACCCTCCTCGTGTTTAGATGAGGCTATGTAAGCACGCAAAAAGTGCCCATGCTCTATTGCTTAATTGTAAAACTGTCCAACCTTTAACTACTTCTCATCATACTGTTTTCTTTTGATCCATAGATTTCTTTCGCTGATTAAACAGGAACAAAATGAATGGAACGCTACTTGTTTCCCCTCTGTTCAGAAACGTCTCTCCACCTAATAGCGGATCAGACTTTTCAGGCAAAATCCACGTCTTCAGACCTCTTAACCCGTCAGTGAAACTCGCACTGATGCTATTTTTCGTTGCCATAGCGATAATAGCCTTTGGAGGAAATGTGCTAGTGCTACTATTCATGAAGACCAAAGATAGGACAACTTCCTTTATGAAAGCATGTGACTTTCAGAAGAACTTTAACTTTTATATTAAGAGTTTAGCCACCTCAGAGGTTCTAGCCAGTACAATTCCACTTCCCTATTTAAGCGTCAATTTAAACTTCGATTTCTTGCAAAGAGGCTGGCCTTGTAAAATAGGACGGTATGTGGTCTTCCTGTTTCCTTGTGTAACCGGTGACAACCTGTTAGTCGTAACCGTGGGGAAGTATCTTGCAACTCGTCAAGTACCTCGCACGTTTAGTGCCCCTACTATTAAGAAAGTGGTTTTTGTTGCTTGGTTAGCGGGGTTTCTATCTGCTTTATTTCCAGCCGCCATCATGGACGGGATAAGGCATGATTTAAACGATACACATTACACAGTGATTTGCAAGTATGACAATACATATCTTCCCTTTAGGATTGTCTATGTAACTTTTACAACTCTGCAATACATTATGCCATGTTGCATTCTAATTAGGATAAATATTTCGCTCATAATGACTTTATGGAGAAGAACAAAGAGAACTGTGGATGTGCAGAAAGATAATGGCGTCAAGGCAATGGCAAGGGCTGCTAGAACCCGCGCTATATATATTGTTATTGTTCTAACATTTGCATTTGTCACCCCTTACTTCGGTTACTTTGTTTATGTTTTCTACAACATGGTAGCTCAGCCAGACGTTAGTTTTGAGACCAACCAGGTTATCCGTACTGCAAATACCATAATAGTTTATTCAAATAGCGCTATTAACCCGATAATATATTTTGTGCAAATGAAAGATTTTCGAGCCTTCTTGAAGGAAAAGTTCATTTCAAGATTCTTGACTTAAACGCCGCCGAGCTTTAACGGTTACTGCAAAGGTCTCCTTTACAGCGAAGACATGGATCTGGTGAAAGAATAGTTGAAAAATCGACAATTGTGCTTGGGAAAAAAAAGGTTCTATGAGATAAAACCTAATAACATGCTATCTGTTCAGTTTTATATTCGGGAACCACTGTAATGAAAAAGAAAAAAAAATTCACTCTACAATATACCACTGCAAATCGTACAAGCCTGTACTATTTACTTTCAGAGGTACAAAAGAATTCGGGGGCAATTGAAAAGAAATAAAAAATGATCTGTGATGCTGTAGCTGTCCATTCTTCCCTCGGAATGGTGAAGGTCAATTTTCGTCTTTCAAGAAATTCTTCATTTGAATTATAATTCTTAAATTCCTTTATGGATTTAGTACTTTTTTAAAAGCATAAACAGCATTGTCGGCCCACTTACCCATCTGCTTATGCTATCCAATGCCTTTCTAAGAAGAATAGTAAAATCTAACATGACGGATGACTATGGCATATCCAA